TCCCCCCCCCCCCCCCCCCCCCACCCCCCTGGATGGGATGCTAGGGTTGCCCCTGCATTAAATTCATCAATATCCATTTGTACACCTGGGTGGAGAGAGCGACCGCAAGAGTAATATGTGTTGCGGAAGAACATAACACAATGTCCCCGGCCACTATGCGCACAAACCACAATACGTCTGCAGGGCACTAGTAATATTTTTAATCTGTGCATGTTAAGTCATTATGTTTATGCCCTCTGATGTGCATTAAAAAATTTTATATAGTTGAAATTTCACTCAGGTCATCAATTCTACAACAGTTTCAATTTAACAACAGTTTATTGCAGTTGCTGCAAGAAAAAGAAAAAACTTCTAACTCTATGTACTGTATATTATTCATTTTTATGTTCCACAGCTCTGCACTTTCTAAGTGAACTCCACTTGAACACTAACTCCAAACTCGTCTTACAAAGAACGTTTTCAACAAGAACTGTCCGTGAACAACTCACTTACAGCATGTACCTCTTATAATATTAAAACTACAACCCATGGGGTCACAAGCAGTACTTAAACTAAGTTTTGTAACGTCACTTAAAGGTAAACCACCAGTGTTGGAACAAGTTTTGTCGTCAAATTGTCTAAAATGAAGCACAAGGTCGAAATTTGTTTTTAAATTAAATACAGAAAAAAAGCACTGTTAGCAGTGTTTCAACAAAGATTGGAGCATTCATTTCCATTAAAATAAACAACAGTGTGACATAAGATATATGATGGTGCAACTCTGATGGGTATGAAAACTCATGAGCTCCAATGCATAAGTGCTTTATAATATCTTGCACAATTTTCAGTGTTGACAACATTTCCAACAATGTAGCAGAAAATAACTTGTTCCAACAGTAGGAGTTTGCTTAAAGCAAATTGAATTCACTTCCAAAACATACGAGAAGCACCAAGGATACAGAGTTCCTGAATGCAATTCTAGAAAATGTCAACTACAGACTCGCACAGCAAGTTGTCAACATAACATGGTCTTAGAATTCTGCATCAGGCCTATGCTATCTCTTGTTACACCTCAATCTTGAAAATAATCTAACTCGTTGTACTTTAACCATTCTATAAATAATATAATATTGGCATTACGTTGATGTACATAACAGTAGTCATTAGGGACTTTATAACAACGTACATTAAGTTAAACTAGGGCTGTAACCCAATATTTATTAACAACTTCTTCAAAATACTTTCTATTTCACACTCAACAAGAAGGCTTAACATAGAATACATTTTCCAAACTCATTTATCAGTCAACAACAAAGAAAAGCTAAGCAGCCTAAATTTCACTCAATGTCCCCTCAAAATAATTTTCCTCTTTCTTACATCTGATGATTTACATTAAATCATCAGCAAAAAAACTTTAAGAGAAACTCTTTAGTTTTCCACAAAAGTGAAGAGGTAACAAAATTACTTAAATGATTTCATTTATATGGCCAAAGTCCAACCCCTGTAAGGAGTAGGAACACAAAAACAAAACTGGTTTCAGAGACTACATAAAAATGACAAGTTTCAAAGAGACATTGTCATTGGCTGATAGGTGGCGTATTATTCATTTTATAGCATACCTTCTTGTTCTCACAAAGCTTACACGTGGCTGAACTCAACTGTAAAGTCCCGATTGGTGCTGCAAAGGTCTTTAATGCATCTTGACACAACTTTCTTTGTCAAAATTCTTAAGTGCAGTTAACTGTGGATGGAAATACTATTTGTACCAAGGCAATAAATTGGATACACTTTGAATTATTCTCCAGGTCAATTCAGAATAAACTCTGTTATTTATATAAATCTTGCATTATTGTTTCATGTATGACCTGCATTTGACTATTCTTATAATGCCAGCATTTTTGGTCTTTAGATCTCTTAAATACCATCATATGGAAGCAATTATTGTGCCTTTTTATCACAAAGTCAAACTAGGATGAAATGCTGTTTCAAACATTTTTCATCACTTAAAACATATTTAAGTAGTAGTAGTAGCATTTTGTGTTGATATATGACAACCATTCTATACAATAATGTGAATACGACACATTGTCTGGTCAAAATTAATGATACATGGCTGTGTCTAGCAAAAGTTTGAAGTTCTTTTCCAGTTAACAAATAAAAATTTAAGGACTTTAACAATGCACCTACCAGGGCCACTTAGACAACTAAAACCAAACAAACTCGCTGACTGGAAGGAAAGAACTCCAACTTTGTTTTTTTTGCCTTGCGGCAAACAGCATTCGGTGAAAAAAAACAACAACAACAACAATATTTCACCTTACTGAATCTAGTTGAAATTCTCCATTCTGTTTCATTGTCTAAGTTGAGTAGCCCCATTACAGTAGTTGCAAAAGATTGGATTAAACAAAATTTAAGAACTGTCAACATTTTTCATTTCTTTACCAGTTAACAATTCAAGGATGCTCAATTCAAATATGGCAAATAAAATGAAAGGATTTTTTAAGTTTAAGAAGCTTGATTCATACATTGCTACATCTAAATGCACATAATTTATACTTAAAAATTTTGAACAATCAGTTTATAGAAACAGCTGTTTCCCCTTATATTTTTAAATATTGGGATAAAAATAGTCAATGTCAAAGCAGCAGAGAGGTGATCTATCATTTGAAGCTTTCTTTTTGTAAATCGTGCACTGGCAAAAGCAAAAAAAATTAAAATTAAAACAAAATGTTTCAAGCTGTTACAGTCTTTACAGTGAAGGACAATTAAATGCTCTATGACAAGAAAATAGCAAAATCTGTGGTGGAAATAAAGACAACCAGGAAAATAATAATTATTATAATTCTAAAACAAGATTATTGAGGACATCATTGTCTACAGTGCTCTAGATTAAAACAAACTTTGTAGTAACTAGTAAAACAAAGATTCACTGAGTAATAAATTGTTTATCGGATCCGTATTAAAATTGCAGTTATCAAATATATATGTCCCATCAAATTTAATACAAAAAGAGTTGTTTAATAACTAGTTCATTTTTGCAAGATTAAGAAATTTCTTCAAATTTAAAATGCTAACTGCATTCCACTGGCTTTTAATATTAGAGAGTGAAAGGACAGAAGCAAACACAATTATCTTGTAACACTGCAAGTAAATGTCACAGGCAGTTTGAAACAGTGCCGCAAGTAAGGACTGATTTTTCACAGGAAAACTTTGGCACAAGTGACAAGCTTACAGAGATTTTTACATATACATCAACCATACAAGTTGCTTGTGATTCTCTTATACAGTATGACAAATGTTGAGAGATTTTGCAGAAATTGTGTTTCAAAACCCTTGACAATCATTACGATGTATCTCAAACACAGTCAAAATGCTCAATAAATGTTGTACAGTCAAACCTCTATGGTACACACGCCAGAGGGAGGGAGTTGAGTGTCTGTACTATGGAGGAGTCCACATTACAGTAAGTGTCCTTAAGGAAAGGTGTGCCTGAAATTCTAGAATGTCATGAGAAGCACAGAGTGCAAAATGCAAACAACAAAGTTCTACTGTCTTAACAAAGAAATTACCATGACAGTGGTGCAGTACAGGTTGAGACTAAACAATGAACTTTCTGCAAAATTCCTTACCATTGATCACAGTTTTTGAAGTCATAACTGAAGCATGAGTAAGCCTTAAGAACCCTTTCCAATGCTACTAATACAAGAACCCATTATTTTATACTGCCTTCCTGAATTCTCCATTCAGGTCAACAGTTTATTTACAACCAAAAAAACAAACAAACAAACAAACATGTTAGGAAACTGTTAGAAAAACAAATGTCACGGGTATGAAAATATTCTGACCACAGCCAGTGCTCACGTCTTTAAATAACACAAACCAAACTAAAGAACAACACAAAACAGTTGCAGGGTGTTTGGTGTTGCTGAACTATGTACAAGTGTAACAAAAAAAAAAAAGAATAACACCTCAAACTTATTCTGAATAGTAACTAACAATACTGAATTAAGCTTTTAACTATAACTTTGGAGACAAAAAAAAAGCACTTAAAAATAAATTAATGCAAAACTTGAAGCTGTATTATGGACAAAAAAAGCTAGGTTATGAAGCACAGCCAAATTTGCAGACGCAGCAAGCTTGAGTGCTATTTGATGGGAAAATTAAGACCACTACACTAAAAACAAAACTTTGACACCCAGAATGGCTACATACTGTACCAAGAGTACTCTTGCAACAGAATTGAAAAAACAAAGAGTCAACATGACTACTAGTATTAATATAACAATTATTGGAACAATATTACGTATATTTTACATCCACAACTTAGAGGCTGTTTACCGTCAATAAGCAGCTATGATATGAATGCCACTTCCTTTAACATCATTTAACCTGTACGAGGTTTAATATTAAAGATGAAATAATCAAGGCTTATATCTGTTTGTATATTAATACTGCAGTCTTCCATTTGACTACAAAGTGTTTGCTAAAGGATAGCTGGTTCCACCATCATCAAATAACGATTGTTACCACATGCATTTTTAAGGCATCTGTTTTTCTTACGTTACATCTTCTCTGCTTGTGAAATGCTATTTATAATTAAATGAGCGATCTGTAGAATCTGAAAAAATAAAGAAAACAGAATAATCACATCTACTATTGATGCAATAATTAATTCAGCGTTAATACTAAAACCTAACTTTTAACATTAAGTCTGCATACAAGCCAAGTGGCCTATCAGGCTGGAGCTTATCCCCCTTTCTGTAGCATGAAGCGACTAAGAATATTTCTTGAAATGATCCAGGAAAGAAAGATGGCAAAAAACAGGTTCCACACAAAAAACGTATACTGCTTAATATTAAAGACTGGAAAGTGAGCTACTCACCAGAAAGAGCATGCTCTGTAACACTGAGACAGAGAGACTCTAGACCATCGTCAATGTTCTCAAGGTCAGCTGAATCTAAAATATAAAATCGGTTATTTAGTAACAATACGGCAGGGCTTTCTGAAATATTACACTATTACCAAAGAAAAATGCCAGCATAAGACTCGTGGAGTGTCAAATGAGAAAACGTTGATCTGGTGCCCACCCCACCCTGTCTATTTAACACCCCCTTAGTGAACAATTTTTGATAATGACCACTGACACCTTTTCCAGTAGGCAACCCCTATTCTAATATTCTACTTGCATCATACTGTACATTCCACTTTTTAATTTACCACTCAGAATACCACGTTTAGTTTAGTTTTCAGCTGAGAACAACACTTGTTTTCAAGATAGACTTTCACTCAGCTGTGTAAATTAAGTTATAGAAGCCTGAAAGGTAAGACAACGTCTTTCCTGGTGAAACAGATTGAATCCTAAGGTTTGTTTTTTGCAAACATTGAAACCTAGTGACTGTTCCTTTGTCTTTTAGTATTGACTTCCAGAGTTACCTAGCTATAATTAGGAAATCAATAGCTTCTACATACGCTGCTGTGGAAGAACAATGCTTGTCTGTTGTGTTGGTTTGACAGGAAGTGAATTTGTTCTTCCCACCACAGCATGAGACCTCACCTACAAGGCAAATTAATACTTGATGTTATCACTTGGCTACATTTCAAAAAACTACCAGATTCCATAATGGACAATTCCAGCCACAATACAACCTGCGTGTGGTGACATGCTCAAGGTAAAATCAGCTGACCACACTATGCAAGTGCAAGGCCGTGTTCTAGAAGCACCCGGGTGCTCCAGGCGACTAACTTTTACCTTTGGGTAACTTGAAAAACTTACTTTTTCCATATATGCTTAAGTGCTGGGCACTGAGGATTTCATGGTCAGGAACGTTTGTGCTCCTCGTAATTTTTCTTAGACCACAGCCTTGTAGTGTCTGCTTTAGCGAGAGATGACAAGTGAACCCAAAAATGAAAACAACATACCAGTCTTGGTTTATTAGAGTGCATTTGTGTCTCCGCACTGTTGCTTCGAAGCTGACCAGCAGGATTCTTAGCAGGATTGCGAGGTGAGCCCCTGTGACGCTTATTTATGACCCCTGAACCAGCAGGAGGCCCTGTGCTCCCTCCTATAGAGTCCCCTGAATTATGGCCCATGTTGTACCAGCTGAAATAAGTAACATATCAAATTAATAGTTTTATTACAAGACTTACAGTAGTAAGATACCATTATGCAAGGCTCTCACCCTCTTGCCCGGTTCTCGTGAGATGGGCGCCTTTGTCTGACCAGTCTCTGGCATTCTTGCTTCCATGACTGAATTCTTCCTTTTTGAGTCTGTGTAAAGGCCTGTCAATATCATAATAAAATCAAAATCTTAGCAGCTTGTTTCAATAAGACATCATAACTTCAATCCAGGCCAAATGTTTTGCGACACTCTATCTTTTTGCCATCTTTACCTCACACTGCCTACCCCCACAAAGTAATGTTGATCNCGAGTTAAGACCTTTCCATGTTATTTTCTTATCTGTGTAAGCCAGGCTTCTAGCATTATGCTTTTCTCTTCCAGTTGAATACCTGGTCAGTAAGCTACATGGAAGAAGGTGTGCAAGAATGCTCTGCCACATGGAACTACATGACTACAAAAAATAAACTCTGATCAGTAAATGCCACTGAAAAACATATCACTTCTAGGTTGGTAGTGAGATGTTGGAGTATTCTTCAATAAAAACGCTCCAGAAACTTCGCACGCTCGTAGACAAAACTTGCAGTGAATCTTTCTCTGTGATATTTTAGCATTGAAACTTTGGGAGCAGCTTGCTTGTGAGTAAGACAAAAGCTCTGCAACAACCTTACCTCAAGCGTAAGAACTCTGTCCAGCAGTTGAAGGTAAGCATTACAGTGTTCCTCATCTGCTCTTGACACAAGGATCTGAGTGCAAGCTAAAATATTTAAACAGATACCATACAGTAATTAGTGGAATGCACTCTGGATCAAGCAGTTTGGATTCAAACCATGACCAAGTTTATACTGTGCTGTGTTCTTGGACAAGGTACCCATCTCAGATTGCATTTCACCACCCAGGTGTATCCCAGGGGGACCACCATATAAAATGGACAGGGGCGTTTATCGAAGATTCTGAAAAGAACCCCTAAGAGGTAACAAGATCCTGTTTTGTGGGCATGGCTTGAAATTTTTTCCATCCCTTAGAGGTGCCAATTCTATAACAACTCCTATCATATTTTATTCAGCTCAATGCCGTAGAAGGTACCGCAAAAGCTCCTGACCTTTTGAGGCTTAGGACCCTTAGAGGTACCAAAACTGCCTTTTTAACCCCTAAAAGGCACGACAAGCACCCCTACATGGGAGTCCCCCAGCTGGGGGAATGCTATGCAGTTAATCACCAGCTTCCAGATTTCAGCTGCCACAAAAAGGCCATAACTTACCAAAAAAGACAACTTAAAATCTACAGTATACGAGTTCTTCAATCGGCAAGTTTTTGGCTTAATTTGTAAAGGAAGTGCAAAACACATGATATAACTTCACTCACCTTTACCCAAAACTCTTGTAATTCGTGAAGCCAAGTCATCAGGGTGCGGTGGAACACTGGTTGGAGGCTGTTCTGTAGTCAGAGTCTGCGTATATGGGGCACCTTGAGTGGTCTCAGAAGGAGGAGGGCTGAATGGCTTTATCGGCGTAATTATTATTTCTCTCAGCCCAGTTAAAACTCCTTGAAGTTTGCCAGGCTGAAGTACTTCCTGGAATGAAAAGGGCAAAGGTATGAACTGAAGAAAAATTAAGTTGTCTTGTGTAAGCATCCCCCCACCTCTTGTACTTTCCTTCCATCCTGAATATATGCAGCATTTTTGAGGTGTAAAATAATATTGCATAACCTAAGGGCAAGATTAAGTCAGATGACTTTTATTAAGAAAATGGTTCTTGACCAAATCAGTATTTTTACTATTGTTGTTGTTTTAGTTTTTAAATTTAAGGTTTGGTAATACCATCCCATAGACAAAAGGTACAAATCACCAGAAATGTACACTTTAGGTCCATAACAATCATGGGCCTGGTTAAAGATTTTTAGATGTTAACTGTATACTTGGGTATCTCACCTTTTCTAGACGGGACAACAATTCTGGTCTTTCCGAAAGCTTCTTAACACTTAACAAAATCTTGTTCCTTGCACCTTTGGTTACACCCTGTGAGAAAAAGGAATTTTAAGAACCCGTTATTAAATAATCATAAAATATCTTTTAGAAAAATTTGACGAGGATATCACAATAGTTAATTTGTTTGGTGTTCTTGTCTTTTAGGATAGCTACAAAATGTACCAAAATGTTGAAAGCCAAAGACATTCATTGGACTTGGTCACCATAATACTAAGGAGAACTAAGATAAGCTGTAGATATAAGGGCACTCTGCCGTGACCTACTGTTTACACACCTTGCTTTCCAAGTACTCTTCATTTAAGCCAAGCATCTCCTCATAAGAGAGTTGAGAAAACAGACTGCCATACTTGTGCAATCTTAGATTTTTTAACCAGGACCCCACCTCTAGAAAACAAAAGAGCCATCAGTTGCAGACTCAAATTAAAGCGCATACTACACTTGTCATTGCTTGTAAGAACACAGATGGTCCAATAATTTGGAATTGCAGCATCTATGGTTACTTTAGCTAAGTTAGCATGCATTGCAAACTAAGCTTGAGACGCTCTCAAGTCCTTTGTGGTTGTAGGCTGCCCTGTTCACACTAGGGCTTTGAGTGTCATTTCTCATTGCGAGCTAGGCTTTCACTGCATTATATTCCAGATGTCTTTCTTTTAAAAACAGCACACATTTTCGTTACAACTAAAAATAAAACAAAGAAAGAAAAACTATTCACATGATGAAGCCCTGTAAAACCTGTTTCAGCCAGGGAATGAGAATGTGCAAATTAAAATGTGGGTGAAAGCTACAAGGAAGAACACAGCTCACTGTAAAACTGTACAGTAAAATGGGCTAAGTGACTTTATAAGGGAGTTTGGGGAGGCTACTTGGGAAGCTTTTATTGGGGGAGGCTGAGGGAGGAGCAGCACAAAAAACTAGAAATGAGCTGACAAGAAATGATCCAAGAACGACTCTAAAATTAAAAGCTATTATTCACATTTGCCTGGAAACTAATTCCATTCTTCATTTACATGTGTACAAAGTGCAGTGTTCCGAGACAACGTCAGTGTGTTAATATGGAAAAGAGGATGGAGAAGGGCTTCTAATCTGGGGGGCTTAACAAGAACATTACTTTTGTTTGCAAACTGAGGAGTCCCTAACTGTGGGGGATGGTGCTATAACCACTATTTGATGGTACAATTAGTGACAAAAGTGTGCAGAAATGAGTTGGCAGGTTAAGCTTAGGATACAGCTCAGCTCTTTCAATTGGTATACTCAAACCTACCACTGCAGTGGCTGCAATCGCTTATTAAAAACAGCACTATTCTCTGATGGTTACACTGTACCTTTCATCCCTGGCCGTGCATCTTCATTGAAGCTACTGCCTCTCTGTCTGCATCCATTTTCATCAAGTTCACTTTCTAATGATGACTGTGGTGAAAGTGAATGATTTAATCTGTGAGGATCCACTGGAAACGACTGGGACCTGCCCGGACGGATTTCAACCTCACAATTTTCAGAGTAATCCTCCAAAATAGAGTCTTGGATTTCAATAGGTGGTGGAGGGGTCAGCGAGTTTGATCGGCTCTTCCGCAAATTGGATGAAACAGAAAGGTGGGATTGCATTGGTGGTGATTCAAATGAGCCACCAATTCCAGAGTCTACATGAACAAGCTGCTGGTTGCGCCAGCCATTCATCCTGCTCCGCATATAGTTCTGTCTTACAAGGTTCTCACAGCCGGTGTTGGGTAAAACATCGGAATTTTCAGTTATGAATGAATTGGTCGCTTGGAGCCTCTCTTGTACACCAAGGCTCTTATCGAGTTGGCTCAACCAACGATGAAGAGTATTCCTTTCCTCAGGTGGGAAGGCAGGATGCACCACGGCTAAAGATAAGAGCTGACGGCATTCCTCTTGGTGGACAGAATGCTCAACGGTGTGATGAAGTATTTTGGGAAGCAACTGAAGATATTCAAATCTTGCCTCATCGTTGCGTGGATTTAGGAGTGGCAGGTGCATCAGCAGCTGTTTGACTGCAAAGTCTTTACTCTCACGTATCAAACCACCTAAAAACTCTAGAAACAGATTTAAAAAAGAAACATTTCAAGAAATCCTCTTGCTAATTAATCAGCACAGCTGTATGTAGTAAACATAAATTAACCCACAGAAAGCCAAGGTAAAAAAGTAGAGGTTCTCCTAAGCACTAACTGACAGATTTCTTGAGGACACAAGACAAGTCAAGGTTACCATATAGTGTTTTCAGGCTCGCCATTATAAAATTATCTATCTGTTTTGCATTTGCATAACTTGAACCTTTTTTATCAAATTAGTAATACAATTGGCAAGGGAATTATTAAAATGTTTTTCTATTTGATGAATCCTACTGACAAATCCTCTTCACAATTAACCACCTCACTAAAACTCGGACCCTAAGAGTCTAAGTAATTTTTATCACTCAGATTGACCTTTGCACATACAGTACTGTATTTCTCCATCAGTATCTACTCATTTCACGAGTCTCCTTCAGATGAAATTTCATCATGAAATGTTAAAAAAAATTGTCACCAATAAAATAATCATGGTTCCAGTAAATGGCAACAGGTTGGCAGCTCTCCACTTGCCTCCTCTGACTTGAAATACAAGAAGGGTTTCGCTTTGTTTGCACAGCTTGTCTTACATAGCAGCCTGTTACATACACTTATCTTTAGCCACCTGATCAGAAAAGCTCTTGAGAGCCCCAAGTAACATCAGTCAGTTTTCACAGCTGTTGTTTTCTTTCCTCTTGGAAACTACACTATTGTTCATTACATGTACCTAGCTAGCATCGACAAGACTTCAGATTAGAATGTCTTGCAATAACATCTGCACATTCAGTTCCCCAGTATTTTCTGACCATTCTGTGTTTACTTTAATCGATTCAGGTTAAACTTGTTACTAATATCAGTTTTAAGATATTTGGTTGCAGGTCCAGACAATATTGCAGGTGGATGTTAATTTATTCATCTGTCTTCTCGTTACCTGGCTGCTTCACAATGTAGTGATACTGTAATGAGAAACTGTACTTTGATCCCTGATCAAAATATCTAAGGGTATTAATTAACAATAGTCAAATGATGTTGGTTATTATTTTCAGCCTATAACTCCTTATAAACTGAAATGTTATTAAAATCTTGCTCATTTTTTTCTTGCTCATTAGTCTTGCTTATTTCATGACGGCACGCAACTCTCCCAATCAAACAGACAAACAGCAAAGTTCTTGCAGATGAAAAGGAAAGCACTTTTCCCATGTGCTCAATTCAAATATTTACACATCCATTGACAAAAACACAATTAAGAGCCAGATTAGCCACATGGCTCGGAACAAAAACAAATGTCTTTGCTCAAAAGAAAAAAAAAATACAGAGACTGACATTTGATGAGGCAAAAAATAAACAGCCAGACATTTAGAATGCAAGAAACAAAAGATTTGCACCCAGACTGTGCATAAATGAATAATCTCACTCCTTGTGCCATTATTATCTTTTTGTCTGAAAACCAGACATCAAACAATCAAGATGTTTACTCGTGGCCAAACTGAAATTAGAGTTCTTTCCCAATGAATGGCCTACATAGATGGCTGCTGCCATATTGACCTGCTCTTACCATCTCTTTCATTTACTGTAAGGGAAATTCAAGGTGGAAAATTGCATTTATCTCTGAATATGAAGACACTGTCTTGTGGATATTCACAGTGGCACATTTCGTATTAAAATGCTTCCTTTGTCTGAACCAGACAAAGTAATGGCTTTAAATTATTTTTCCTTTACATAAAAAAAGGCTATTCAGTCTTCAAAAAATGAGACAAGAAATTTATGTAAAATCTTGCATGCAAATTAAGTTATTTGTAAGTAGATATTACACAGATCTTAAAAATAGCACTGCTGTCAAAAATCTCAAAGGGGGTGCACATTCAATATTTCCTGCTGTTATAGCCACAACTTGCTAATCCTATAAATGAAAGATTATTTGCACTTCCATTTTATTAAAAGCAAATAATTTCCTATTGTATTCCTGACTGTCACAGAGCTGTACATTATGATAATAGTTATGCCATATTTTCTTGATTAAACAATTTAGCCTAGTATTTATCTGCAACCTGATGTTCACTAAGCATGACAACATAAATTTTTACCACCCACCTCATCTGTGATCATCAACACTTAAAGTTCAATGCACAAACGGGAAAATTTCACAAAAATATTGAACACAGAGCTGGATTCACCAATGTCACTTAGGTGAGGCTGTTTGATGTGGTCTTATGACATCTCCGGGAAACAAAATAAATTAAACTAGTATAGATCCTTTTCATAAATGGCTGTCGATTCTGATATTCTTTTGTACACATTTAAATTAGCCTCACTAACCTAATGTGAGACTAAAATTTCTGTTGAATTGTCAACTTAAAAACAAGGTTGGTAAATAAGTAAGCCTAATTTTAACACTAACAAAAGAATTTATTAATGGCAGCCATGGACTCGGCATTTAATTGAGTCATACCGACAGTGATCACTTTGGAAAGAGTCCACTTGATTCAGGAGAGAGTAACAGATCCACCATTTTGATTGTAGCGGAACCCTACTTTACTAAAAACACCCAAAGATTTCAGCCACTTTTTGGACCAGAGAAAATGCTCCTTTTATTTTAAGAACTCTTTTAATATGGTCAGGACTACATTAAAATGGCCACAGTTTTATAGCTCAATATTGGTTTAAGATGGCTGGAAAACAATTTTAAGCATTATCTAAGACTTGGATTTCAATGGGCCGTTTTAACCACTCACTAAATTTTTGAAAATTTAAGGTAGCTCTAAACCCCATGTACAGAATTTTTTTTAAACTTTGCTTAAAGTTTCATCTTATCCAGCCAATCAAAATTCAACAATATAATGGGGTATCACCATGCCATTTTTGAAATATAAGTACTTAAAGCTATAATTAAGGGTGTTTTAGCAGGTCACTCTGTTGCTATGGTAACAATAAAAAGCGGTTACGATGACCCATGTAAATCTAAGTGTTGGAAAGTGCTGGAAACTGTCTTGAGCCACCCCACATTAACAGAGTTCTGCTGTGGTGGTGAATAGTAACACTTTATTTTACAAGGGTGAAAGTACAAAGGCAAACACAAGAGAAACATCTAAGAAGATAGTCAAAAAAAGTATTTTGTTCCTGCCAATAATCAGAATTTAAGTTTATGAACAAAAAAATTGGAAGGAAAAAAAGAATTGATATCGATGACAATAACATTGTGACAACAAACAATAGTAAGCTCTTTTGTGCATTTTTTGCTGATGAAGAAAACAAACAAGGGACGCTTCACAGATGAGTTAGTGGCGGGTGATCCAGTAATGGTCATGATGGTAACGATGATGATGATTGACCTTTAAAAAGATGTCGCAACCTGGCTCTTACATAAATATTAATAATATTAATATAATTTATTAAATGATAACTAATTATTAATTATTTACTTATTTTATCTTTATTTAAACAGAGTTTAAAAATTCATCAGCTTAAAAAGCCTAATTTATATACTTAATTCCTAATGTCTGATTTTAGAATTCCTGAATAAAAACCTAGAATAGTGCATGAATTTTCACAGTTTGGCAAAAAGATCAGAATTGTGAACAGAGACACTGTCACATTCGATCTCACATGGGTCTCTTGACATGCCTTCAATCTTAACTTTGTGCATCCCTTACCTATAACAGAACTCTAAGGTGGGGATCCTTGTTAATGGAGCTGATAACCCTTGGACTAAAGTTGTTTCTGTTTGCAACTAACATGTAAATGACCCTGTCCAGAACCATTTAAACCCCCTCGGAAAGGAAGACTGTGGAATTTTCCAGTTTAGGCAAACATTTATGATAGTTGCCAATGTCAAAAATACATAAGTCATCAATTTAACAAATTATTGACTGGCGTCTACAACATGTGCTAAGGTACAACACCACTGCAAGTTAACTGGTGATAGCTAGAGCAGATTGTTCCTTTTGTTTTTGAAAGAAAGTAGACGAACATTTTTCATTATTTAGGATACAAAACCACTCCTTTTCCTCCAAAAACTCAATATTTTCTTACGCCAATCCGGGGAACTGTCAGAACATGACGAAAAAAACCATAAACAAGAATTATTTTACACTTAAACTCTACAAGTGGCCAAAGATTAATTTGATTATAAACAGCAACTCTACAACAATAACTGCGTGGGCACTATTATGTTTAGGATCACCAAAATTCTACCATCTTTTGTGTGTTTTAGGTATCCATGTGACTTTATGAGTACAATCATAAAAACACACGAATCTGGAACAATTTGAAAAGCCAGCGTCTGTTCTTTCTCTTGATGTTTTTAACCCCAAGACATGCAAATGAATCCGAAAGAAGCGCGACCAAATTTACAGCCCTGTGATCCCTTGATCTTCCAACGAGTTCATATACTCCGCTCCAAATGTCACCCAACGTAAAATAACAAACACAGGTGTTAAAAAGAAGAAAGACCTTTTATTAGAGTGAACACCAAAGAAATGAATACGATTTTTGTGCTCTTCGATAAAACTGAAAGAGAAAATTCTTCAGTTTGTAAAACGAAGTATTACAACCAGGAGCATCCAGAACTAAATATTGAAGCCCGATGTTTGCACAACTGATTTTCTAGGCGATCAAAGTGGGGAGACGTAAATTTTGCGAATGCGTGTCAATTACAAAGGGCGAAATTATTCGCGCCTCTAAAGAAAAACTTTCTGTCACTTAAAGAGTTTCGCACGGTCAACCAGACATATACTATGTAGTAGTAACGACCGTGATGAACAAGGAAGACCGGAATTAAGCCGCCCACGTGCACCACTCAAAAATATATTACCTTTGTCGTTGGCTCGTCTCTGCATCATTTGAACTTCAAACGAATTGTCCCGAAAAGTATGTTCCAGAATCAACGATAGGAACCTGGCCTGAATGGTTGAGATCCGCTTTAGAAGCGTGTACAATGCTATGGTCTGTTCACAATCGTTCCAGTTCGCAAACCACTCCACCAAAGTGCTGACTTGGTCACGAAATAGCGTGTGATGTGCTGGTTTCATGTCGCTCGCTAAGGACAAACCCTGAAATCGATGTAAAGTTGCATTAATCTTTGCACACAAGCACGGCCAAAAGCAGCTAGCACGTGCGCACATTCGAAAGTGTCTCTGAAACAAACCTACATGAAAGCAAATTGGGGGAGAAGGAAGCCTTCCCCAATATTTCTTTCAATACATGGACAACCTCAGTCCGAACACGTGCGTAGTTGTTTGGTACAAGGCTTATGTTCATCAATTATACATCATTCCTGTGTAAGCACTTTTGAATGAGCTGCGCGCTTCGTACAATCCGCTCGAATTTGCATACGTCTTTGAAGCAAAAGAACTTTTCAACACAATCAGACACCAGTTAACCCAAAACAAAACAATTCTTCGTTGTTTTTCTCCACGTCCCCTCGACGGCGACAGCAACGTATATTTTTTTTTCTCAACGCTAATTAAAACGCCAGAATCGAAATTAGCAAAAGAAAACCCTTGGGAAATATCCATTTCGAAATAGATTTGTGCAGAAGCTCAAGCGAGCTTTTGTTTTGTACGTGTCTTAACTCGGCAGAAGTCAGAAATATCCCGAGCGATAGATTTTCCAAAGCCTCTACTAAAATTGCCTCTCTCGGGCAGAACTCTTTGAGGTTACTTTTAAAACTATATTTTGACGTTCTGAAGTCAAAAAGACACGACAGTTCTCGTGAAGTTGCACCCCATATGCATTCGAAAGTCCTCCTTTTCACATCATAAACAAAGCTATGTGAGACTTGACATCAACAAGTACGTAACACACAACACCTACAGCTACAACCACTTTCACTGCGCAAAAACAGCTGTAGAGCTGCCAAAAAGTGCTCAGCCTGGACCAGGTCGTCATAAATCCGTGCGTGGCGATAGAAATAAAATCCTTGACACGCACAAAGCCCAGTGCAGCTTCAACTGTAAGAGGCCATGCTCACCTTTTCGACTCAACTTCCTTTCGACTTGTCTGTATGTTTGTGCGAATTCGTCGCCATACACGGGCTCAACACTTCCCTACACACCACCGAACGCTTCCACGACAGTTGTAGCACCTCATCATGACATGTTTCCCTTTATCAAGTGCACCAAATTAATGTAAAACCCTGACAATTTTCACCTTCGTTCACATGCTGCCTCGCAAGTGCTCGAGGCTCGCTTCGCTTTTCATATGGGGCCGCCTAAGCCAATCACAACAAAAACTATGATGTCATATGGCACAGACGAAATTGTCACGTGACGCACAGCGCACGATCCACGAGGCGCGCTTGCAAAGCAGATGAACTGACATTTCTATGTTTACCGATTGCGGGGGAGGTGAACAAAATATATAATAGTCATAATGAGCCGAGAAAAAAAATTTGTGTAAACAGATGAACTTTCCCTTCCTTATACGTTTCGTGGCTTATAGGAAACAGTTTCTACTACATCAGATAAAAATAAACACCATCTTTCTGTTATTTGTTGTGCGATTGTTTAGAAATGAGATGCGAATGAAGGAAAGAACAAATAAATGAAGAATTGCGATTATGGGGACGCTATTCAACTCACTCGCCCACAAAAGGAAACCGTGAAACTAAGAAACCACCAATTATTTTTTTTCTCCACCGTCTTTGCAACTGAGTGTTAAGCGGATAAAACGCTCCAGCGAATTTCGATCGACAGGACACCATTTATTTATCGTTAAATTATAACTGAACAAGATGCCCGATTCTTGGATAGTACGACACGACGCTGCAAGCCTTTGTAAAATGCGTGGTAGAACAATTTCGATGTACGTGGTGATTGTAACGCGCGCCTGCCAACTGCCTAAGACCTGTACTTGACTATCACCTGTGATTTGATTAGATTGGTTTGCTTCTTGATCAGTGAAGTTTACTTCAACGACCTCAACCACCTGTGTCATCGAAAAAACAAAGATTTTGACTTGTACTCTTTCCGGCAATATATTGTTCATCCCTCGTGCCGCTCGAGAGCAGTATAGAACGACCGGCTAAATGATTCCGGCTGCTGGGCATTATTCATAATTGCAGTCGTGATTTTCGACTTTTTTATCGCTCAGCCGCCCAATCGAAGTGATAACCGAGTTCAGCCCACGCTGATCCTGTAGATAATGGTTTAGTGCCCAGTTAACGGCCGTCGCGAAATTTTACTCGATTTAATAGCATTTACTGCACAATGTCCTAATTTTGATTTAATATTGCTCGATTATTTGCAGAGGAGAAACCTCCTCTTCGATTAAAGTCAATCTTCTTTTAGACGCACTGACAACAGGCAGTTAACCGTGAGTAAGAAGTTTACATTACGCTGGAGAAACATGGACAACATTGAACCAGGCCGAAACGCGGAGAGATGATTTTGTATTTGAAGACTCCTAGAGCTGGAGTTTTGTGAAAAAAATATCAGCTTTGTCTTAAGTCTTGTTGTAACCGATATTTTATTAACATTGTTCTTTTCTGTAACGTCGGGAAAACAGTTTATTTTACGAAATGCTTCATGATAACAGCTGATCATGAACCTCTCCGTGATCGATCTTCATCAGAATTTCAAGAATGAGACGCCGCTTTTCGAGGGGAGCGGCTGTATTCAAGATTCAAAATGCGCTTAGACCTGTCTAGATCGCTGACTGTTGTCCGGATTATCTTTCTCCGTATATCCGTCTCTTGTGCTAAAAGGGATGTTATCATGAAATATCGCCCGAATTATTCCGTTTAGCACCCTTTCCCAGGTATCAATAAACATCTCCACATACTGGAACCCAAAGTCTAGTTGAACGTCAAAACACTCAAATTTTAAATGTCTCCTCCCCGTGCGCTGAAACGGTTAAAGCTTGAAGAGATCTAAAACGCTCAAATCTTACAGTAATTTCTAGTAATTGATTGCTGGTTCTGCTATGCGCCTAGAGCTTGGTTTTTCCGAGGACCAACACGCTCACAGAGATGCGTCGTAAGCGTGCAGCTTTTAAGATCTTTTAGATGAAAAAAAAAAAAGATAATAAACGGCCCGTCCCTTGTAAGCGCCTTTACCGTCTGTCGATTTTAATACATACCGAAATTAATGAATGCATCAGTCAAAACATTATGGTTGATGTAAATTTTTGCCTTGTGAATATTCAAAACCTGGCATTCCTTCTGCGCACCGGCGAGTAGAAAAAGCTAAAGCGAACGTAGTGAGAATCTCTGTATTGTAGGTTGGCCTGCAAGACAACTATTGAATGTTTTGTTTTTTTTATTTTGGACACACCCACGTTGCGATAGCGAAACAACGACACAATGTGCATCACAATTGCTAGTACCTAAATACATCCAAATCGGCATGGAAAAACGCCAGTTTTGTATGAAGGCTTGTCTTACTTAGCTTCCCCCTCCACCCACCCCAACCACCACCCGGCCTCCAAACGCGAAGGACTCAACTATAACAAGTCGATAAACATCCTAAAATTCCTGTGGCCTCGGCCAAAATAAGTGTTCAGCCACACAGACCTTCATACTTTAGACACCTTCCTGAGTCAGTGGGTGGATTCAATGGTAGTTTATGTCACCAAGTCACTGTTTTGGTATTGTAGCTGAGTTGTTACATGCACAACACCTGCTTCTGACGTTACGATAACCAACCAATTCAGTCAATTAAAACTAGTCAGTGTAAATCGCAAAACACGCTGCTTATCTCACCATATTCTTCAGTAGTCCAACTAATAAATAATTCAGATGCAGTGAACTAGTAAACGGAAATAGCCGCCATTTCATCAGACGAGTCAATGTTAATACAGATGCGAAAAAAATTGCCCCGCTTGTCAGCCCATTTAGCTGCTCTTCCAAAAAAAAATGACTCGAAAATTAGTCCAGTAGCCTTTAAAGATCATTATATTCCTCAAGCAAAATTCACTTACGTTTAGATTTTGCTGCAGTACTGTCGGCTTGCCACATAAAAATTTCGTTGTCTTCTTAGAACATCGTCATTCGAACGTTTCATGAGCAGTAAAACACACAGAACAAAGCGAACTTCAGTCGAATTTTTAAACGGCCCATCGCAATTCTTTTTGGCTTTGCTCGAAGCTCCAGGAATCAAAATTGTTCAAATAATGGAAACGAAGGCGTCGCACAACAAGAGACACTAGAAACTAGAAACACTAGAAACTTCCGTGAAAACCTCGCGTTCCTCAGATATAACAAAACAACTGCCAGTTTCGCTTTTAGTTCGCTGATCAGTATTCAAGATATTCAATTGTCTGGTCACGACTCGCAATTAGATGCCGACCAGTGAAATGTCTGGAAAGACATCCCGCTGAAGCCAGACGGAAATATCCGATATACGTCACCTTCTTGAAAATAAAAAATAAAATGTGTGCTTTCTATTTCAGGGTCATTGCTTATCTATAGATGTCGTCAATCGTTGTCGGCCCCATTCATAACCATACTTGTTCCGTTTTCGCCCGCCATTCCCACCATGGTGTTTTATGCTACCTTTATGAACAGTGTTTGAGGTTTCTTCCCGCCAGTTGAACTTAATTTACCATAACTGTCTTAATTAGGTTGGAGTTCTTGAACACTGAAAGCTGTCTCTTCGGCAAAAGCCTTGCGCAGTACCCGGGGCGCAGTACTGAGGAAAGGCGCGGCTATCTTTTTCCGGGATCAATCGTCAATGTACTTCAATCGGATGTTCAATTGTCTGTCAAGTGACTCAAACGGATGTCCGGCAGAGACTCTCATTTTGACACAAAGAGCAAGATGTTATTTGTTCCCGCGTTCAATAACTGAGTTAGTGTCAGCAACCAACAGTCTTCTTTATAGAAAAGTGATTGATTGCCGTACCAACTGACAAACAAAACATCCTCTCCCCGCGACCTTAAGACAATCAAGCTCAGTTTCTCGCCAAATGCATGTAAACCTTTGTTTCTCTTTTAATCGCCAGAGTCCTTGGCATTCTACTGGAACGACATGTCATGACAAAAATATATTTTTTTGGCCCACCTTCTGAAACATAAATTTTTAATCATGGCACCTACAATAGGAGGAACGATTTTCTAAGCGTATAACTTAGTCAGTTTCCAGAATGATTCATTTTTAGTAGTTTCTAAGCGACAAGTGCTCACGTGACACGTGTATTATCGCGAGTACGCACGTGTGCATCTTTTGATTGGCTAACTTACGTAAGAAAACATACCGAGAAAACTTTTCAGCCAATCAGTGTCCATTTTCCGTTGACTGTGCGGCTTTCTCCAGGCCTTGACGGTCAACTGATTTCGGTGACGTTCCGAAACGATCGCCTCGGACCACGTGACCCGATACGATTGACCCCGGCGAACATTTTCCGTACATATCCAGCAAACCTTGAGTTCTCGAGTTTGAAGGTTTTTTGAAGCTCTCTAAAGCGAAGCCTGCGAGAGCATCCGGTTTCTTCGACTCTTGTTTTACACACCGAAACGGCAGCACAAAAAACCGGATGCTCTCTAGGGTCTATATAAATGGTAATTCGGTTATGTCGTAAAAGTTATGGGATGGATGGCCATTGAGGAGAGATCTTTGTATAGGTCGTGCGAATTTTCTAGTCCTCCNTCCATTTTCTCCCAGTTCCAAGGGGAAGGCGCCGCTTACTTTAAGAGATCTGAAGCCACGGTAATGTTGGGACGAGCTTGAAGCCTCGATTTATATCAAGTCAATCTTTCTGAGCCGAACATATTTTTAAAATCTGATATAAACTGATGACAACCCAATAAACTCGATCAAAATAGCGCGACAAAAAAGGGCGCGGAATTTTAAAAACATAAAAATTAAACCTATTTTCAATGTACTCGAGCATTCCAGTTTCAAAAATTTGGTATCGCTGATTAAAAGCCCGTGAGAGTAAACCTACAGCCATCTAAACACGTCTTAAAATATTGACTGTCAGAAGTATGTTGCGTGATTTCGGAAGTGCTTTAGCAGACTTGGCTAAAAGCCACATTTTTAAAATATACCGTGACCAAATTTTGTTAGTATTGGCCTTCAGGAAATTTGGCGTCAGCCAGTCTTCGACTGTAAACATAACCTGGATAATGTCTCTTAGCGTGTTCGGTTTTGATTTGAAATCTGTTGTGATTTTAAATGATACGCCAGAAAGAAAGGTAATCCGCTTAATTCTGCGGTCAACTTTGTACTTTGTACATCACGTAGGTGTGACTAGCGACTGAATTTTTCAAAAAAATTTCATTTATATCACAATGTAACTAGTGTACATTTTTTAGTTCCACTACGAATGGGCCAGCAAAAAGCTCCACCCTTCAATAGATCGCGACCGTTTTTCTGCTATCAACGAGTTTTTACATAAATTGTATCAGTGCACATAGCTCTGACAAGACCTTGAAAATATACCTTTCATCGTTTTACAAAGATGACCCCAAAATTAAGGATGAACTAATAACACACGCAAGCCGCTCACAGAAAGTGAGCTCAGATGAGCTGGATGGCGGAATTTGAGAACATGAGTGAGTTTACAAAAATTTGTAGAACTTACAAGATTTTGAGACAACTCCTCCTTGGGAAAACCCCCGGCTCTAGATCTACGTGGCTCACGACCAAAGCGCGACCGAGCTGGACTGATGGAAAGGTAAAATCCAACTCGGTCGCGTATTTTGATCCTTTGCTCGTGGCTCACGAGAGTACCAAAGTCCACTGTTATTAATTTAAAAAAACCAACCAAAATTTGTTTTGAAAGACTTCGAAAGTCAAGCAACACACCTGAGAGTTCTCAGTACTCAAAAGCTTTCAGCAGAAGGATCCGCACACCGGTATTGCACTGACAATCGTAAACATTGAACTCCATGTTGGAAAAATATGTAGTTTTACTCACCTTCGATGAAAGCCGTCGTCTGGAGCACGCATATGAACTCGTTTTAAAGTCTGCTCTGTCATATGGCGAAGTTAGAACATCACAGTGCGTCAAACAAGACATAATGGGACATAAACGAAGGAATTCTGTCTTCGTCTTGTAAATCAAAACTTCCCAAATGTACGTTATGTTGTCAAAAGTTTCTGAAGTCCATGAGAATTGAATCAGTCGCTGAAAAGCGAGCAGATCTAGTGGCCCGTTGTAGCCGCAGTTGTGCTTCCAAATATCAAGACAGCAATTGTACCGTCCTCTTTAACCTCACCCTGGGACGAAACCAAAAGCGGAATTATCAAAACTTGCTAAAATGGCATTAGTTTGGGGCACAAATTAAAGTTGACCCTTTCTTCCGCCCTTGGCTTGTGCACGACTGTCTGAGTTTAAAATTAAATCTATGTGAGTATAATGACTGATATTACTCATATTAAGCATGTACGAATATATTAACCCGTTGACGGGAAGTGCAAAATGCTAGTTAGATAAGAGATATTTTGCGTTAAGTGTCCTATTTTGAGAAAGACACGAAATGTTAACAAAGAGATGTGACAGAATCATTCAGGAACAGAAATCCATGCATTCACGAGGAAAAAACAGCAGTTATGATTACAATACTGCTATTCTCAAAATATAGAATGACCGTATACTTCCGTTCAGGGACAAAAATAGAGACGGAAAGGGAAAAAAGGTTAACCCTCTAACCCAACATGGAAATCAGTTGCGGTTGAAAGGCATAACATCGTTATCAAACTGAAATGTAAAACGTGTTTTGAATTAAAGAAGAAACATCAACAACGAAGCAATCCAAGGTACTCAACCTATGGCCGAAACGTGACAACATATTGAAATACTGTTAATAGGCGCGTATAAAAGAGCACTGGTCCAAGAAACATTTTAGTAAGCGTCTTCAGTGCCAAAGGAAGTACGTTTCACATCTGATCTGTCAGATCTATTCAGCTGAATGCACTGAATTTAGTGATGAAACAAACGCATATTGAAGAAACATAGCCAGTAGAAAACGAGAGACATTACAAACAAGATTTTTCCGGAGAGATCCTTTTAAAATTGAGACTATTTCGCGACAATATGATAAATATCTCGGACCGAAAATATGCAGGTTTTTTCACTGTGAGATAGCGTTACTCCTCAGTGACGTCATACCTACGATCTCGTGTGGGTTTTTTTTGCAAAACATTGTTATTCAAGGATTCTAAACAGAGATGTGATTCATCACGATCGACTAGCTAATACTCGCAGAAATAAATTTTGATTTGAATCACTTTTAAATCGATGACTTCCTATTAAGCCTTAAACCTTTTAGGAAAGCTCTAATGTTAGTGTAACAGAATTTTTGTCAGCGATATCTGGCGATCAACATTATAGTTTTAATATAACATATTTCTTATAGAGTCCTTGTATCAACGAATCATAAAAGTAGTTACTCTAATGAAAGCAATGGTGTTATCTTTTTCGTGTTCAATCGAGAATTATCCACAATGTTTTTAAACTCACCATTAGTCATCGAAAGTCTTCCTTAACTACGAGTAAGCCGGGATCTGATCAGATCAGAGTCGAATTGTCGGTGAAGTTCGATCAACCGCGGGAAAGAACACGAAATGAACAGAATATTTCCTGTAGTTTCATCAACATTTCCTAAAATGCGTGGGTACATATATATTGTTTTATAAAGCGCTACTGACGTATAATTGACGTCATTGTTTATGTAAATCAGGTGAACAGATGATCGATCTTTTTCCTTAACATGAAAATGTACTGACATTTCGTTCAACTTTTTCCCATTACCATTTTGGACCAGTTCAGGAAAAGCTGTGACACTGTTTTCATGTCTTCCTATACGATCACAGGAAGATTTAAAGAAGACATGGCAACTCGCCCACTCGAACTAAGTATAGCTAGCAATTCAAATAGCAGAAGTTTTCCCCCTCGAAGGTAACATATTGAATTCAAAACTTTAATATCTGTACTCCCAATTCCAAAATTAGAACAAAGATGAAATAAAGTCAAATCTTTCCATTTCTCTCTTTTCGAATGAATTTTTGTTTTCAGCTTCATACTTGCAACTGAACAACTGATAAATGGAAAGCTCCAGAATAAGTTTGGCTTTTGATTTGAACTGATTCAAACGTTGCAGGACGAAATTTTTTTTTAAGTATTTTCCATTTTTAAAGAGATATCCTGGAAGTCCTTAAGGGTTCCTCATTATTGAGTGAACAGCCGCCTACAGTATATGAATTGGTATAAATAACTTATGAGATATATCTGGCCTCTGTACGTGACCTCTAGCTTCACAGGAATTAGTAAACATGTTTTATACAAATTGGTCGGTTTACATGTTTCATGTTCCGGCGCCTCCAGCCACAAGCCGTGTCATAGTTTCTGGGACACCCTGCTCCAAACTGTTAGTATTAAATACCTTGGTATTTTTGCGTCGGGGGAAGAGTGCTCGAGGGCGAAGAATCTTTATGGGTTTAAAATTGGATCATAAATTGTTGTCGGTTTTTTTTAGGATAATTCGCGTGTTCATGATCTGTTTTGGGGGTTTAACTTAACGATTTTTTTGAACTGGACAGGTTCAAGGTTTTTATGAGCGACTGGAGATCTTACGAGTATTTTAATTTCTTTATTTTTGGCAAGGGGAGAGTGGGGTCGTGTTAAACCAGGTTCTAATTAACTATAAGTTTCTCCTGCAAGTTGTAATATTGGTCAAATATTCCTTAACCTGTCCACAGACCCTCCATGTGGCCTTCAGCTCGTCAAGATCGCAAGCTTAGCGATATATTTACCCGGCGCGTGGGATACACGCACTAAAACGCATGGGGAAAGATCAAAATCGGCCGCTATCGCGCTCTGCAGTCGCATCGCTCGCGCGCTCGAAGGAAAATAACTCGTAGCAAAAAATAAAGGCTTGCCGTGGACAGACTTAACGCTCCTGAATGATGTGACAATCAGTTTCTCTCATCTAATACGATTTGTAAAGACGACTTTCAAGACTGATAGAAGAAGAATTAAGAAATTTTTTAAAAAAACTGAAGAGAGTCCCTGACATTTGAAACACTGACACATAGCACAGTGAGAGAGCAACTTCATTCTATTTAACCTGCTGCGTTTTTTTGTGTCAGTTGTGGACGGCGTTTCGTAAGAACCCCCCTCCCCCATTAAGGCTTCCTTAATGTGTTTTTTTTGTTTTGTTTTGTTTTTTTTTACGGCAAATCCCTATTCTGACGGCTTTTAACTTCTCTTATGGATCTCTGAGAGTTTATCAAGAATTGATAACCAGAATTGAGCTGAGAATCTTACTGATCGGCCATATTAGGAAAAAAATTATCATTGATTTAGCCAATGACCAGGCGCCCTCAGGCACGGTATTATTTAAAACTAATGAGCATCGTTCTCAAAGACTTTCCAGTGTCTTTAAAGATACTCTGCCATTTGCTTCTAAATTAAACGGCGCTCAGTCACGGTATTTTGAGTTATTTTGGCCACGAACAAAATTACATTTAAATTGAAGGACACCTGAAAATAGTAGTTTACTAAGATAGAAAAACACCAAAGAGATAATAATAAACCACCAAGGAACAAGGATGTTTAGGGATGGAAAAGATTAACACGGATTACAAACGACGATCTTGAAAAATTTAGGTTAAACTTTTCAAGATGCGCAAACCAGCTCATACTTAGCCACCTTCCTTGCGCTCTGCGCTCGCTGTTGTCTTCGCGCTCTTGTATCGCACTTTGTGCTCTGCCCCACTAAACCAAACCCTTGCCACAAGTAGACCCTCGCTTAATGGTCAGGGAAGTATTATTGGAACGAACTTTTAGAAAGTCTAACTAAACTACTGCTCTGTTGGCTAATTGCGGGGGAAGAATGCAGACATCTGTCTTCCCAGCCAGTCATTTTGTTTTTACCTTTTTCTTTTCTTCACTTTATCAGCGTAGTGTGGTGCCCTGGAGGTTCAACCATTTCAAGGTGCGTAGGAAATAAGTTAGGAACTGACGTAAATATCACAACAAAGAGGACACTCAGAGCCCTACAGGTGAATTTTTACACTAAAAAGGCCGGATAAATTATAAGTAAGGAACAAAATAAGCGCACAAATAATATAAACCAGGTGCGTAAACCAGAACACTGCCCACACGACAGCACTTCTACAGACGTTTATTATTTTTCGCTTCGAGTTATTTTTCTTCCAGAGCGCGAGCGACATTTTGTCTCCCTCCAGCTCCACCCCCCTCTTGTGTTTTGGCTCGTTCATATCCCACGCGCCGGGTTAATATGTTTCTAAGCTCGCGATGTCGACAAACTCATGACAAAATAGACAGTCTGTATACAGAGTACAGCACTTCGGGCTCTATCGTTCTATTTTGGTGTCCATCAATTTTAAACTTAGAAGTTTATGTCTAACTGAAAGAATTAAAAACCGCGAGAATTTCCCATGAAGGGGCTATCATCAGCAGCGGGGAATGTCTTTGGAAAATTACACAAGAGTGTTTTTTTTTCGTAATCGCTTGCTAATCCTCTAGTAAAAAGACCTTTGCTGCCTTTGTCCCATTAAGCCAGTACTTACAGGTATATCAATAAACGGAACAAAATTCCGCACGCTAGGCTACTCCTTGCCACCCGTACCACGCGAGTAATGTAAAGGCTGATAAAAGAAGTGAATGAAAATATCAAGAACAAAACGTTTGGATACACGAAGAAATTTGTTACACGCTATGTTGCAGAAGTAGGACGAAATTCTACTGCATCACAGAATTGCATGCAACAATTTCACGGGTGGATACACGATGCAATTTACCCATTGCGCGCAATATTGCACCGTTTATCCGGGCCTTGATATTAGTAAAACATGGTGATCAGAAAGTTCAGATCGGTCAGTTAACGGTGCGACTTGCTCTCGAGGCAACTCAGGCCATTTAGCCGGTTTTTTAACCCTTCAAAGGTACGACAAGTAACCCCGTACTTTTTATACGGTAGACCCCCCCTACCCCCCCACCCCCCCACCCTAGATTTCAGCCTGATAACCTTAAATTTTATCAAAATCAGTATAATTACTTAATTTTGAAAACGAATTACCACTGTGAATAAGATAAAAATAACAACTTGTCAGATGCCAGATAGTGAATCTCTCTCCGATCAAAATACGCGGAGAACGTTCAGGTTGTTGCTTATTATGAAATCAACTTCCCGAAAATTTCTGAGTTGCAGATATTTCATACACTTTTTAATAATTGCCAGAATTTGACATGCCACACGTTTTAGCTACCCGAAAGTAGCGACCTCTCCCCCGCCCCCGGAATGTTGCGGTTATCAGAAAGTAGCGAAAGATGAAGGCTACTTAATCCGAAAACAACTAGGGTCGTTATTTCAGAATTATTACAGTACCTTAATGGCACCCTCCATCCAATAGGCACTCCCCATTGAGTGCCGTATTTTTTCAATAAGGGCCCCTATTCCAATAAGTGCCCCTTCCAGCATTTGCCGCCATTCCAAAATTGACATTCAGATTAACATGTTCAAGAAGGTCAAAAAGAGATGAACACCTGAATTCCCTGTTGTGGCGCTTGTCCTGGGCCTGGGGAGACCCCTACATAAAAAGGACGGGGTTGCTTGTTGGAAATTTTGAAAAGTGCTCTTTTTGTGCACGTGGCTTGAAATTATTTTCCACCCCTAAGAGATACCAAATATTCTAAAACAACACATTATCTCTGGTCATATTTTTTTCAGCTCAACATTTTAAAACGTACCACAAAAGCTCCTGCTGTGGACCTTTTGAGGCTAAACATCCAAACAGGTGCCTCTCCCCCTGAGACCTGGGCTTACTATGAAAATAATACAGGTAAGGGACATGTAACAACAGCAAAGATTTCACATGGAACACCCTATGTGCTGCCAAAACTAAATTAACCCCAAACAAGTTGTGCGTAAATGTTAGCCAGTGCCTAAAAGAGAGTACCCAACCCCTCCCCTGGGAGAATACAATACTGAAATGACGACAACATACATTTGTGCCCTTTGATTTATTAAGTTAGCATGAAGGTTGAAATTAATTTATCAATATTGTATTACATTACAGCACAATATATTGAATTTAGTTCTAAAGTATAACAATTTGGTTTCTTTGTCCATGAACGCCCCAGCAAAAAAAGAAAAAACAAAGATAGATAACACAGAAGTTATACAGAAAGCTAATGAATTCTGTCTTTTGCACGCCTTTTCATTCCAAAACAACTGAATTTAATACTTTTAAATATTACTTAATTGAAATTTTATTAAAACTTTAATATTTTGACTTACATTACTGGAGCAAATATTGTAATTTAATGAACAAACATTATAAAGTACAAACATATTATTTCCACAAATTCATGCCTAGTTTTTACATTCTCATAATAAATAATACATAAGTAAAATATTCCACAAATATTTCCATTTGAATTTTGACTCAAGCATTAAAAAATATGTGAGATATTTCCAACATAGTAAAAATAAATGGCTGTTGAGTGCATCTTTTACCACTGTTGATAGATTGCACTGTTTTAGTTTTTGATGTACAAAAAGTTAGGCATCTTTGAAAATATCAGGATGCACTTTGGATGAACACAATCTATATAATTTATTGTATATTTCTATGCATTTCAAGAATAAAAATATTGCTAATTGCCTTGCACTTTATTGCAGGCATTTACATTCACACGCAACCAGGCACATGGGGTTGTGTGGTGAAACAAAACAACATGAGAGTAATAAAGCGTCAGGATGCAACTATTGCAATGTTGAAAAAAAATTATTGCAATGTTGAATTTATGCATGAAGTATCCACACACATACCTGTGACTGGTTGGTTACTGATAATAATGATTAAATTTAGAAAATGCACCTCATGGGCACATGGTGCTTATTTTTGAATGAAGGGCATTTTTCACAGGTTAGTTGTCCTGGATTCAATGAAACGACAGAAATGAGGTGCTCTGGTGTCCTGGAAATGAAACTGTGGCATGATCAACACACCAAATTCACCTATCAAAGAGAGCTCAGACACCTGGGGACCTATGTGTTATATGGGGAGGCTTCCCCCAAAAGGGTACCTTTTTCAGCCTTCAGGTATATGAAAGGGTAAGGATTTCACAAGTTGAGGCACATGAAAGGGTATGAAATCTGTCCTTTAGATATAACATGAACGGTTCTTCTGGTAATACTTGATGTTCTCCCGTAGTATTGTTTGTTAACTTTATTCCAACGCTTTCGAAAAGGGATGCAATGTTCTTAATTAGTTACTTGAAAGGGGTAACTTTTTGTAATAAAAGGTATACAAGGGCATTGATCGACACTTGACCATGGATGCCTTTATTACACATGATCCAGAAGAGAAAGCCTGGGAACATTAGAGCAAAGAGAATATGATTTACCTGTTTGGTAGCCTATTATTATTTGAGAAATTATGCTTGTTGAGAACTAAGGGTGCAGAAAATGGAACTATTACATTTGACAACTAACTATCTGTCCCTATCTCTGATCAGGGTCAAGAACTCGTCACGTGATCTGGGATCCTCCCTCAGTGCCCCCAGCATGCAACTGGTGACAGTCTTACTGCTTGGCTTTTGTACTCCACGCATGACCATACACATATGTCTGGAAAATAAATTGTTAAAACAGAGTTGACTTTTTAATAAGAACAAACACAACGAGGAAATATGGAATAAATTTACTAACTGTGATCAACATAACTTTGTGCATGAAAGGGTCAAAAATTGACTCGGCTGTCATGGATGCTACTTCCTATAATATTTCTGAGTGGTACTGATTTAAGTCCAGCAGCGGCAGAATAAAGATTATCAAACAAAAAGAGCGTTCAAGGAAAATTCCTGAATGAAACCTGCGGATTAGGTGGGCGGAAAAAATATGTTTGAGAACATTGATTTCAAGAACTGACCATGTTGAAAATTATGATCAGTCATAGGATATTTCACAGTTAAATGACTGTGAATTTTTTTTGACATAAATAGCCTAAACATCCCTTTAGACTTCATATTATTTTACTTTTCTCTGTGCATTAATGCATGCATGTCAATACTCACGTTGCCTCGATGACCACACCCACTCCTGCTGGGTTGACAGCTTCAGTTAGAGCCATGGCAATCTGCTTTGTCAGACGTTCTTGAACTATAAGAGCAAAACAATTCAGTATGTACAAAGGTCTAAAAAGCTGTTGTTTTTTCACACGTGGGTCATTATAGGCATGCAATACATGCCGAGAGGTATGCATGGTTGCCACAGACATCAGTTTTCAACATTCCCTGAATTTTCTCTGATAAGAATAAAATTTCCCTGACCAAATAAATATAAAATGCCACATATAGTATCAACCTGAACCCTCCCTAACAGCCATCTCTTTGACCAATTTGAGTTGAAATATTTCTTTTAGCCTTCCGTGATAATAAATCAGCAGTGTTATAACAAATATATTTCAATTTTCTCTGACTTTTCTTCAAAATTTCAGTTTTCCCTCACTCAAAATAGAATTATGTGGCTTTTCTCTGATCTTGAAGAATTTCTTTTCTTCCCTGACCATTTCCTAATTTGTGGCAATCCTGCTATGATCTGATATGTAGCTTTAGCCCTTTGCTGCAATCATGCCGCAATCTTGGTCAGAATAATATGAGAAATACCCTCCCCCCCGCCGAATCAATGATGAGCTGGCACTAAACCCAAAACATGCCATTTTTTACAGCATCAAAGTGGGGGTAGGGGTGATCTTAATTTTTCATTTAAATTGTCCAAGATTGTGACTTCCGTTGTATAAAAGTATTATTAGTCCCACCTCGTATAAAACTAACCTTGTAGTCGACGGCTAAACATTTCTACAATCCTGTAACAAGCAAACATGAATTAGCCTAATTACCACCACAATATAATTCATTCTTGCTTTAATTTCTTAAGATCCAGTCTCAAAATATCAATCTTGATTCTAGTTTGGCAAATGGCTTTCTGTGTCGACTAGTTTAAATGTCAAATTCCTTCAAATTCTATTGAGCATAGCTTATGTCTTATTCAATAGCTTACCTAGCAAGCTTACTGAGTCCTACAACTCTCTTGTTGGGTAAATAACCAATATGAACCTACAATGAAAAATAAAATACAATTATTGAAAAAAAATAATACAATAATAAAAAATAAAATTATACAAAATGAAAATAAAATAAAAGAAATGCAATTAAATTAAATATCAGATAAAATTACAGTATGTTTGACAATCAGAGGCTAAGATCACTCTGGAACAATTCTCACAAATATTAAATTTATTAAACATCACGATGACTTTTAATTACCATTGCTTTATAAGTAATAATTACTTACAAAGCAATTTAATTATTAGACAAGTCTTATTTTGTCACTGTTCTAGTGTGCAGAACTGTGCTTTTGAGCAGAAGCTAGCAACATACAGAAACTAGCAACACTGAGCAATGATACCCACTAAACAATCACCACTGAACCCTTTGCAACCTGGTAGATTAAGTGGAACATTTACATGTAAAGCAAACATTTTACATAGTTACATACCTTTCCCATAAATGGTACTAGATGATGTTCACATAAAGAGAACATGTCAATATCCTTCACTATGACCAGTTCATCGTGATTTTCATCAAAAACAGCATCATTAAGAATATCTGATGATAATAATGCAAAACCTCAAGTTAAAGAACTGATAATAGTCTTAGCTGTGAGCACTGTCAAGTGAGAGGAGAAAAAAAAATTTGACCAGAAAAAATGGCAGCATAAACTACATATAACTAAATACATGTGCATCTTTTGAATTTCATGTCATGCCCTCAGTTTTTTGTGAGCCATTTTGTGGTATCTGTAAACGTTTAAAAGTCATTTTCTCAATACAGAGTGAAACAAGTTAGAGGTCAGGCTCGGGTTGTTCGAAAGGTGGATAACACTATCCATGGGAGAAATCACTATCCCAAGGATAGCTTGGTTTTTTTTGTTAAAACTTGTCCACTGGATAGCGATTTATCCAGTAGGTAGAGTTATCCGGCCTTTGAACAACTGGGGCCAGATGCAGGTTTAATATATATTGTTTGTCAAATATCTCAGTATTCCATAATTCCAAAATTATAATTGTATATAGTGCAGAAAATTAATACAACAGGATATCCAAAGGAAAAAAAAAAGATCCAATGAATGTACTCATTTTATTTTCAGTAATTATTAAATTTGAAGGCTCTAACATCAGAGAATACACTCACTGAAAAAATCAAGACAAATATTATATCAATTTTGTATAATTATGTAACATCCATGAACAGTTTGCAGATTGGATATTGATCATGCAGCTTCACCTTAGAAAACAAAAGGACTTAGAAAAGAATAACCAGTTAATTAACAATGAAAACAGTGTGGTAGAAAAGGCTAATTACTATCAATACCACAAAAGGCAGGTCTATGAGTAATTAACAACTTTACATGACCAGCTATATATTGTTTCTCCCTGGGACATGCTAAACTTAGTCATTTAGGCCGACAGAAAAAAACCCTAAGGGGTGAAATCAAATTAGCCTTGAAAAAAATTGCAGCTAGGAAAATAAACTATTGTATGAAATCCCATTATCAGAAGCCAAACAAATTGATCTTTTTGAAAGCAAAATTAAAGGATGGTGTTAATGTCTCTTGTTGACATCTCTTGTTAACATTCCAATGCGCAAAACAAGACTTAGTACAAAATCCCATAAATGATGGACGACCAGTCTTGACTAACAGGTTTCTTGTAGAACTGCTATTAATTTTGACTGTGCATCAGAGCATCTGACACAGTTCAAAGTCAGGATAAAGGGAAGAAAAACCTTGGATAATAACACTCTTGTTGGATTGTTGTACATTGATTCTTAACCTTCATTCACCCCATGAGATCATGGACCAAAATAACGTCTAGTAATACATACAAATACCATATTTATACAGACAGCTACAGTAAACTAACACTACACAGTTACAATGCCCAAACAGATATTAAATTCATTTTTTTTTATTCACTGATACCTAATACACCTTATTCCAAAATGGCTGACATTTTAGTATTCTTTTGTTTACTTGAGAATGAGCCCTTGTTGCCTCGCTTAAGGGAAATATTCTTTTGAATTTCGAGTTTAAGAACGAGGCAACAGGGGCTAATTTGCAAGTAAACAAAAGAATACTTAAATAGTGGCCATTTTGGAATAAGGTGTATTGTTCAAGAAAACAGAAGTTTAATTCCTGAATTCCTAACAGAGAGCCAGAAATGGGAGGTAACTGTGTCTCCTGCCTGAATTTCACAGTTAAAGAGCTTCTCGTTTGAAATGGTCTGCATGTCACTGTCAAAATTTTGTCATGATTTTTTCCACAACTGCCACAGGTAACTAACACAAGGCAGGTGAAAAGTTATTTTTTACCAATTCTCACCAGCTGCAGAAATCTTTCTCAAACAATGAAAATTTCTTAACTGATTTAAAAACAAAGTGGTTTACTTAATATGTGCACATGTACAGGCCATTAGTTCCTCACGCAATATGGCAGATAAACCTGTTTTTATTTCTCAACTGATTACAAATGACATTGCAAAACTTAAGTGTACAGTGAGAGCACAACTTTTGCAGGTACTGATTGATTAATTTTAATGACAAAGGAAAAGAAAACTAGAAACTTCCCTTAGGTGCACTGAGCAGAAGTTTCTTAGTCAACATTTGCACCGTCTGATATTTATTTATTTCCTTTACTGCCAGTGTTGTAATTTGAAAACAAGTCAGTTGTGCCATAGCCATTTTTTTTGAGACATCTATGCATTTATTTCAAGACTGTGTCACTTAATACAATTTATCCTATCTGGGCTTTATTATGCACAACCAAACATCTTCTGGTCAGATCTATTAGCAAATCTGAATACCAAAACAACTTTACTTCCACAGTGTTTGGAAGGAGACTTCTAAGCCATGCTCAAAAAAATGAAAATTATTAATGGCTCATGAAAAAAAAATGCTTCAATGCCCCACAGAATTAAATTTGGCATTTAGCAAAGTAAATACCAGACTATGAAAATCAGGTGTTAAATTTCAGCTAACTAGCTGTAAATTACCTTCTAATAGTCTTACAAATTATGGCCAAGCATGTTGTTATAAATTATCTGGGTCCCAAAATGTGGTCCTTAAAACCTTGAGATATTTGCTTTGGAGTCAAGAGCCTGATCATACTTCCTTGAGTCCTGATCCTGGTGGACTTGGAATCAGGAGCTCTGAATACACTTCTCTGCAAAGCATGGAGCCCAGCATTTTGAAATTTGATCATTTGAATACCTAGATCCTTTCCTTTTTATTTGCCAACATTGTTAAAACAGGATCTGGAGAGAAGACAGTGATGAAGTACAAACAGTCACATTCCCTTTTGTAGTTGAAGTTGTTAATTGACCTTGTACAATATTTGCATTTGAATTTACAACCATGATTAACTATTCATTCCAATTAACTGCCGATAAATGACAGGAGACACCAAGAAACATCTAAGAAGACAAGTCATAACAAGACCCATGACTTGTTAAGCATAAATAGAGGCTCTGGTTTGCAAAAAGGCTGATATTTTTATCAAAAAATCTGCGTGAGTCAAAGTTTAAAATTAAAGTGGAGTCTGGAGCCCTAAAGTGAAATTGTCTTAAAGTTTTAGTGGCCCTATATTTTTGTTTTCATGGTTCTTCAGATCTACACTTTATGGGCTAGAGCCCTAAAGCTCTAAACACTTTTGGGACCCCGCATATAATATTTAAACGTACATTTTGTGTAATTTTCACGTTCTCAGCGTTTGATTGTGCAATTAACCCAAATGTTTTCATCAAGCTTAACTTATTAATCACAAACTTTGCAACCAATAAGCGTACTCATCTGTCATACTAATGACTTGTATAGTTAGTTAGCATCTTCCACATCTAGCTTTTTCAGGGATTCGAAGGTAACAATTAATTTCTCTTCCAACTCTGGAGTGAAACAAAGTTTTGCTGTTTGTAACAAAGATGGGATTAAAAATAAAAAATATTTGTAAATAGCTATAGGTTTTTTTTTTTTTATAGTATTTTCTTCTAATTTAACTCGTTTTTGTTATGTCCCCGTATTAGTAGGGGAGTTTTTCCCCAGCTAGGTGGTTGATGACATTCTTAATAAAGTTTCTATCTATAACCTATAATTACCCTCGGTAGTGTTTGTAACACAAAGGGTAGTGGGGCTCGAGCAAGCAACTGAAGTTCTAAAATAATTCAAAGCTGTTCATTGCAGAATGGGCGCACTGAAAGCAAGACCGGGATAACGCGAGAGCCCGCGCGAGGTCAGTATCTTTTCAGAGGTCATAAAACCCTCGCTCACCTTCAATTGTCTCTTCGTATCCTTTAGTAAAGAAGAGCATTGCTTTTGCAGCGCGAGAGGGTGTTTTCAAAAGGCCTTGGCGACCCCTGTCTTCTCCAATGTTCGCTAAAACCATTCCAAAGGCAGCCTCGAGTTGGTTTTGTTGATTTTCCACAGAATCTGCGTCGCTTGGTCTTGGTTTCAGCTCGGGTACGTCATCCATGTTGATTGATGAAAGTCGATTGGGCCGTGTTTTACCTTCACTACTCGCTTGAGTAATTGAGCTGTCCATTGTAACATTCAAATACAATACAATACAATACAATATAGAAGACAATGTACGTAGATGATTAGCTACTATTTCCTTGTACCAGCCAGGTGAAGCAGAACGGGGAAGTTCAAAAATTGGCCAGGCGTTCCAAGCGTTGACGATTTTCCGAGTTCGCGCCCAGTCCTTGTAGCCTCGTACTCGCGCGCGGGAAAAAAGAAACTTCGTCAGCCACTTAACCGCTTGTTACTGTTGTGGAATTGTTTTTCTTTTTTAGCTTTTATTTTTTGAACTTCTACTACAATGGGAGGTACCGATTGCTCCTAACATGACGGATAAAACGGAGGAAGGCAGCAATTACCTCCCTGTTCGCTTCTGGGGTCTCAATCCGTTGTTTTGGTGTCACATGAAAATGTTTGTCAAGGAGGTGCAAAGTTTAGAGGAGTACTCTGATCACAAAGGTACATGGGGTTGCATGTTAAATAGGTATGAACCAATGACAGTTTTTTCTCAAATTGATACCATACAATGATGGCTTAAAGCTTATGGGACCTTTTCAAACCTCCCCCAGCTCTCCCATATGATGTCAAATGCCGCACCCTAATAGCGGAGCTCCAGGGTCACGGGTGCATAAACAACAGTGGTAACCCAGTAAGCTAAAATATTGTCAGGTGACTTTCTGTCCATCCGTCCGCCTATTCATGTAAATCAATGTGAAAATATGTCAGACCCCAAAAAAACCTCGTTCCCAGGTCATGTGCTTCTTTGAAGTTGACCACCGCCCTAATACAGGTTTTCCATTGGATTGCAGACTCAAGCCAGGTTAACTTAATTAGGAGCTCTGCTTTTAGGCTAGGGTAAATCTATATATTACCAGCCGCAATTGTAAAATTCTCCCCCCCATGGGGCACATCAACTCCTTGGTTCTGAACCTTCTTTTTTAGCTCTTGGGTTACCTTAGGATCTGAGCTGGGAATTCAAAATATTATTATACATAATAAATGTATCATCGTTCCTTTCCAGAGAATATCCCTACTGCCTCAGTTTTGGTATCTCTGTAAAGCAAAGCTATTGGTCTGAAATCCCGGGGGAGGTACTTTGGGAATTTCTGGATGGGGATGTGCCGCTTGGACCCTGGAACCCTTAGCCTATACCAGAGCTAGTTCAGCTGAATTTTGCTAACCTATACTAGAGTAAACTCCCCAAATCCCCCCATCTATCGACACTGTTGAGGCTGATTTGCGTAAATTCTAACTTGCCGATTTGATTTTTTTAATATTTTTGAATGGCAATTTCTCGTTTCCTTACTCTAGATAAAATCTTCAACCAACCAGTCAGTTTTGTGAAAAATGATACCCTATTCTAGACCCAAACGCTCTGATTTATATACCCTGTCTTAGAGTAAACTGCTTGAAAACCATACCCTTCACAGCAGCACATACCTATATAGCCCATATATGGCAGTGCCCCCCGCCCCCCCCGGGTCTGAAATGTTAGAAGTTGTTATTAACAATTTGCCTGAAGGATGTTCTGTATGACTTGACATAAGCTTACTAATTTTTGTTTCATCTAGGAGTGTATTGTTATTCCAAGAATCTTCCTGTTGTGAGGGTGGAAATTCTTGGATACATAGTTAGTGTAGATGTAAGGGAGAAACTCACAACTTATGGAGGTGAAGTTCTTTTTTCATGATTTATTGTTTAAATAAAGTTTCTGATTGTGAACAGAAACGAAGTTTTCTTTCTTCTTAAATACAGTAGTGTTGTGTTACGAGTAACCATGAAAACATAAGTGTTCACCCTTGACTGGGGCGTATCCAGAAAATTTCAGCAAGAGTACAACCTTGGCCCATGCATGTATGCACAACACCCATGCTTGTATATTTTAATCTGTGGTTAATTAGGTGTGCTCTCTTGTTGGCTACTAGCTTGAATAGTACCTGGATTAATAGAGAATTTGCCCTAAGTTACAAATGAAGTCAAACCTTTAAATAAGCAAAAAAGTAAACATCCTAATTGACTACTGCCCCAGTGGGGCTTTTCAGGGTCAATGGAAACAGTGAAACAAATCTTTTATTTGCCAGTTTTGCACACTGTTTGTGGTAGGTATTCCAAACTGGCGACTGCCCAGCAGAACTTCACTTTAATTTCGGAATCCATTTTATTGTAAGTTGTAATTTAGTTTGTACCTCAATTAATGTTGGTTATCATTTTTATCCAGTTGATGATGGGAGTGGCACAATTGCCTGCTGTTGTTGGCACTCCTCAGATCCAAATGAGGATAGAAGAGAATCGTATGACCTTGGTCAGCTAGTGACAGTACAAGGCAAGATATCTGTTTTCAGAGAGCAAAGGCAACTGACTGTTGATCAGATATGTATCCAAGCACATGAGCTGATAAAATTATTGTTAGGAATGTAAATGTGCAGTTCCAGTAATATCCATACTCCCCCACAGAAGGGATTGGAATTTCCTGGCGGAGGGGGGTGGTGGGGTGGGTTCTCCAAGACTAAAGCATTTAAAGCTATACAATAAATTACTGGTAATCGGGAGACTCAAAACTATTTCTTGGATATAAGAGGTACAGTGTTATATCAGGCCAGCAAACTGCAATAAATATTGCAAACTTCCAACTTGGGATGACACCATAAAATAATACATGGTACTGCTCAAATGCCATTTACTAAGAGTTCTAACCCCCTTAATACTCACCTGCCACATGGGTGAAATGGGTTTGATTCCAGTTTGATTAGTTGACATGTGATTGATACTCGGTTGACTCTAGGTTGACACTTGATCGACATCTTGATCAACACTCAATTGATGCTTGATAAACAGTTGGTCAATAGTCGGCAGAGTGTTGGCCGACTCATATGTATTGATCAACAATTGTGTCTAGGGAGCAAAAATTAGTTGACTTTCGACTGGCTGTTGACTGAGATATTGATCAAGTGTTGACCGAGTATCGATTGAGATGTCAATCAAGATGTCAATGGAGTGTCGATCAAGGGTATCGATCGACACTCAACTGCAGATGCCTTTAGTACACGATTCCAAGTTTTTAGTCTTTTTCTCTTTCCCCTTCTTCCTCAAAAAATAGCACCACTTTTAATTAATGAGTATATTGATGTAAAGAGTAGGTAAGTCCTTGACAGACTTCAGACCCAGAGTCAGACCTCAATGTGGAAGTGCTTTTCTGGTTAGAAGCTGTTAATCTTGGCAACACAGTCTACAAACAACCGTTTACTCCATCACTCAAAGATTTTCAAGCAGGAAATGGTGCTTCTTCCAAGGAACAGGAACTAAAGAAAGCTATTTTGATGCACCTTAAGGAAAATAAGATGGTGGCATTCCAGTTCAGGACATTATGTCTAGAGCCTGACATACAACAGCTAGCGAGGGAAGCAGTCAAGGAAAAATGCACCAATCAGGTAAGTTCAAACACAATTTTCTGCTGAGGCACTGTAGTCTTGCAGCTAGCATGTCAAACGCATTTCTGCTGAGGCACCGTAGTCTTGCAGCTAATATGTCAAGCTATGTTCGACAGGTTGAGGTTTGGTCTTTTCTGGGGTCTTTTCTCTTTTGTGTCCTAAAGCAAGATGTTCCACTGGTCAAACAAAATGTTATTAATATGGATGTTGGTAACAAATGAATAGTTTTTTTGTAAGTAGTAGTAGTGGAGTCTGGTCAGCTGGCTGGGGAATACTATGGCTTTATCCTGAACCTCATGTAGACTGTTTTCACATGATGTTACTGTACCTGGAAGCCATATTGGTGTCCCAGAACAATGAAATGGTGGCCATGTTGATTTCCCAAATCAATCCTGTGGGAGTTGAACTCTATTCTTGTGGAAACACTTTGAAATTCTTTGTCTGTTTGTTTTGATATTTTTGTTCCAATAAATTTGCATAAGATGGCTGCCCACGTGAGTGAAAATGGCCTGTTGGTGATCACTTGTCTGTAAACTCCAAGACATCTGGTTGCTATGAGCTTCACCACCCTTTGTTCTCAGTTGTTAGCCTTTCAAACCAAATTTTTTGCTCACCCCATAATGAAAAGAGTGGCACTGTATTTTGTATCCAAACCATAACCAATGTAGAGTAACTTTAATATTTTGTATTCTGTTCAAGGACGAAGCGAAAAAGATAGATCGTGCTTATGAAGCAAAGAAAGTCATTCGACAATCAGTTAAAGATCTAGAAAGAGATGGCTTGGTGTACTTTAAAGACTCCAGTAAAGATCTTTATGAGGTAACAATGCGGTTTTAGACAATTATTTCTGACCCCAATAGCTATAATCATGTCTTCATATCTTTCTCTGTAGTTCAAATATATGTTCTTTCATACATCCACTTGTATTCTTCACCATCAACATGTACATTATGAACTCACATCTTTACCAGCCACCAGATGGCTTGATAGCTCAGTTGGTAGAGCACTGCACTGGTATCTCAGAGGTCATGGGTTTGAATGTCATTCAAGCCTAAATTTTTTCAGGCTTTAATTTCACAACTACATACCTATTTTAAAAATACCAACTTATTTTAAGTTGTGTAGATAACTGCGATGATCAATCATGTCTTCTTATTAGACTCTGCATGTAACCTGTTAGCATCTTGTCTTAATTTTCTGCAGGTTATCAGTCATGAACACAACCTTGGACCAGCCATCTTGAAAGCAATTAAGAAAATTTCAGGTAATCAACAGATGAGTTGGTCCATCAGTCTGTGAGACAACACCAACCACAATGTTAATATAAAAGTTAAAATACCTAAAATCTATGACTGTACAAAATCAAGGTGAAATGTGGGAATAACTCTGATTTGGCATTTCAGTAGGGTTGATTACCAGCCATTGTTCAAGAAAGGAACCTGTGCTCCTCCCTTAAAGTTTCCTGGGGGGACTCCTCTCTGAAAAGGTGAGAGATGCTCATTCTCTTGCTTAAGGATGTAAATCAAGGATTCTGGTCTCACTTAGGGTGTTCATGATGAAAAGCCACCATTTTAGCTATCAGAGTGTCTTTTAGGGTGCACTTGAGGAAATAACAATTAAAAAATGCCTCTAGAGTCCGGTCTACTAGTCTGGGATCCCTTCCTGAACAGTGTCTGGTAATCAAGCCTATCCCATTTTAAGTGGTATCTTTTAGGTGTCAAATAAAGCTTGAGCCACGCTCAGACTGGTCTCCTCTAGGGGTTTACTTCAAATTTACAGATGAACATCCCCAAACTTTTGATAATTTTGGTAGACCCCCCCTCCCCTCCCGCCCTCGCCTCCTTCTTCTCAGGGAGAAGCTTTAGGCACTGGACCCTAGGAAGGGGTGGAAATTGAGCCTACAATCATGGACAAAAGTCTTGGGACAAATTTGCACTTTTGGCGCTTTTGTGCACACGCCAGATGCGAATACAACTTCCCCTGCCTAACCTCGCCCCCCACCCCCCATACAGTGTTGAAAACTAGTACCTGCAATTTCACCTGATTTTCAACATTGTGTTGGGTGGGGAGGGGGGTCAGCAACGCATTTTTAAAAGATATAGCAGCGTTTTTTTCAAACTCCAGTTCTAAAACACAGATAATTTGTTAAATAACATAAGTGTCCCAAGGACTTTTGTCCACGATTGTAGCATTTTAATCTAGCATAGCAGTGACCAATCAGTTGGTGAAGGCAGATTTATAATCTCCCTCGCCAAATGACCTATTTTAGGGTTCCTGCTTTTTTGA